AAACTAGAAGGAGTCCTTAGAAGAGGAGTCAAAATTTGATAATCAAAAAAATTGTACTTTAAATGGATATATGCCCTTATTTATAGAATGGCAGCCTCATATTAGAGGAAACACTACGTTCTCTTCCAATCGATAATAATGCTCCTCCTGCCATTCAGCCCAATGCACTAGATGGAAACATAAACGAAATCATGTTGCCATGGACTATACCTGAGGAATCCTTTACTTGCATATAATTCCATTTGTTGGAGTATTATTATATCCTTTTTAGGAAACATTAAGTTTGTGAGTCGATATTCCGATTGTACCAGGGGGAAGGAAGTTCTCTAAACAATCCTCCCCTTAGTTGATCGTAAGGTCATTTCAAGGTTTCTATTTTTTCTTCCTTTGGGGAACATTCCCTTTCTCAACATCCTTTTTGGTAGGTTTCTCGATTTTACTGACCGTTTCTTTCTTTTTCAATATACACTATGCCCAATCAATAAATTCCTAACCATTATATGATGTTCCCCCGCTATGTTATATCTTTCTGCTTATCTACTCCTTAGCAGGTCACGACAGCTGTTTCTATATAATTCCTCATGATATGCTATATAGCAAAGAAAATATCATATAAGCCACAACATTCTGTATCCAGCTATTTAAACAGTTATTCTTTTGGCACGTGGTGGGTAAATGTATATTATGATAATGTATCCAAACATAAAGAGTTCCTTGTTTATTCAGATGATCCCCACAACAACTTACCAATATTTCTGGACATCCTTCTTAATTAGTCAGGTGCAATAACACACAATAACTTTATAAAACTATTCGACTCATTATTAAGGGAGAGATGTGTTGGATTAGCCCTTAGATATTCATATAGCATCACACCTAAGACTGATATAAAAACCATTTCACTGCCAAAATGATTGTGTAGTTATTCATTTCCTCTTACTTCTCAGAGGAACTTCATAACTCTACGGCTCTAGTAGACTTGTTTATAGGATATGTTCTTATTTTATTAAATGAATTTAGGCATCGTATACTTTTATACTTGCTTAAACATAAAAGGGGTTATGAATACCACTTAACATTTTACATTCTTGAGCGGTTAATAAGGAAACACCTTTTATAGCATCTTCTATAGTCTTACATACGAAAAAAAATGAAGTTATTGTACGACCTCTTATACTTCATGAGGTCAGCACAGATTCAAGATATTACCTGTTTCTACTCCTCTGTTCATATATTAGAAAACATGAACCCCCCGATTTCATATATCCATCTGGTCAGAGAGAAAGATTTCCCGCCGCTTTTATTCCTTATGTGTTACGCCCACTCTTTTCTTGGGTGTTATCGTTTCGGTATAGTCTTTAATGTTGATTTTCTGAGTATGCTTCCCTTTAGCTTCCTCTTTTGTTGTTTGTCTTGTGTATTTATTAACTATGTACCTTTCCCTTTTGGGCATCTCCACTCTGGTGGTCATGTTTATATGCCCACTGTCCTGTGGGGTATCTATAGGGGGTGACATAGATCCTTCCCTGAGGTTCGAGGCACATAATTCTCTCAAATATATCAGTTCTATTCGTAGATACACTCTATTATAGTCATCCGCTCCTATATGGTTGCTCCCCCCCCTTTTATATTAATGATTCCTTAATATCTTATGTGTATTCTTATTCTTATGCTCATTCTATCCTCTTTGCTGGTTCCATGTTATTATTATTCCTAACTCTCCACGAGAAACAGCTCGTTCTATATAGTACTATTCCTTTTATAATTTCCTATTCCACCCTAGGGTATAAGAAGTTTAATCTTTCATTTTACATAATTGTTATATTTTAATAGTACCGCATCGATTTCGAGTCTTGTTAAGAGGAAAATACTACATATTAAGGCAGTTGTGCAAATCTTCCGTAATCATTGTCTCTTAATAGTACCCGGATAATTATTGAATCTATATTACAATAATATTGAGAAGGAATAATCACAGTTCGCGATGTATTACTGTACTTACAGTGTTACTTCGCCTATAAAAAGTTCTTCCTATATATAGGCACCCTTGGTATGTTGAAACCCCTTTTAGTGATAATATCCCTCGGTTTCCTATACAGCATGAATAGCCTTAGGATTGGTATATGAGTATTCCTGGAATGGAATTATTTCAGAAGCCAGTGTATTGGTGAAATGGTATGATCTTTACAACTGCCGTCCTTCTCATGCAATTCGACTCTCCAAACCTTTGTATTATCTTAAACAATCTTCTTCCTCACACAGCACTGTTCTACATAGAATATTACCCTTGACAGATGCTTATCCTCTAAACAGTTGTTTTAAGGCTAATTCTTACAGTTAATACAAATATACCGGATGCATCTTGGATGTTCTATATATGTGTAACGCTCAGTGATTAGAACCACTCCAAGAATACCGCTACATCCACTCTATTATCTCTTACTAAATATCTGTTTTTAAATTATGGTGCTTCTTGCTCTAAATCTTGATGACTCCACAATAGGGACTTCCTGGATTTTCCTACTGTTCAGGCAGTGATACTCTAGAGAAATGTCTTCTTCTCATATATTTAATAATGGTCGAGAAGAATGTATACCTTATATATTAGTCTTCCAAGGAAGTGTATATCCTCCGCCCCATTCTATTCTTCAAATAATAGCACCCGTTGGCCTAACTTTTCCATATAAACGTATTCCAGTCATAGTCATAGAACCCGCACAATTATGTTCCTGATATCATGGTTCCCCATCGAGATGTGTTATCTTCAGCCAATAATAGTCTCCAAATAAAAAAAACTGTAAAATATGAACGTCCTGCAGAATAATATTCAGGAGACATGTATACAGTAAACAAAATAATACTGGAGATATAGACGTATGGTTCACATAATAGGGCTTTATGGTAAGCGTACATTCCACAGGCCCGTAGTCCTGGGGGGAGCGATATTTTTTAAATAATACTACAAATAAATCATTATTCCTCAATTAGTCACGTTCTCCAATTAGTCGTATCTAAAACGCTATGTTATGAGGCCTT